GCAAGGGACCCGAAGGCACCCCACATCGTGCCTCGCAGGCGCTGTGGCGAATATGGCGAATGCCGCACTGCCGGTGCTGCCGACCCTGTGCGCCTTGGGTGTCTCGGAGGCCTTGGGAGGCCTTTTGTCTTGGTGGGGCTATATCACAGAAGGAGGGTCCTCCATGTGCGTCCCTCCGTCGGGGAGCGGAACTTGGCCCCCTCAGGGGGCCTCGGCAGGCGGTGGGCTATGGCTAGGTTCGGGCCGGAAGGGTGGGCGCCACAGATATCCGTAGGCACCGCGTGCTGAGGTTTCCGAAGATCGATCCTCCAGGCTGGGCACGTTCCTCTACAAGAGGGATATCCGAGAATGGTATAACAAAAACAGTCAGGGGACAATGCTTCGAGGTTTTGTTTGCCGTTCATGTTTGTTTGTGTTTGCTCGATTCTCGTAAATGTTTCTTCCAGACTCCGCCTGTAGGGGGACACGCCCGACCGCACCCCAGCCGGTGATTACGGATGCAGCCTCGCCTCGCCGTTCGTGCAATGTTGCGCGGCCGGGCGCGCACGCCCGTTGCGGGCTCCCAGGTCGGGTCGGGCGAAAGGGGGGGATTGGGAAAGGGGGGGTTACGAAATTTGCTGCATGCAGCTGGTCTCGGCCTCACCGAGGGGCCCATTCCTCGATACATGGCGGCTCCCGGCGCCGGGAGGCGCCGAGAAAATCAGCTACGTGAGCTGATTCTCAAACCCCCCCTTTGCTATCCCCCCCTTTCGCCCGACCCGACCAGGGCGGAGCCCCCTCCCCCCCCGCCTCGGGGACGGGTCGGCGGGGGATGTCTGGCAAGGGGTCGGCCGTCCAGGCGTAAGTCGGGCACGTCCTTCCCCAGGGCGAAGATTCAGGAAAAGTAACACATAGCCTGGCGACGATTTTTCGGCTACTCTTTGACAACCTTCAAGTATGTTTGGACTACTTTGATTCTTCTTTTAGAATCCGCCAGTTTGAGGACATGCCAGACCCAAGTCCAGGCGGGGCGCTCATCAGGGCGATGGGATGGGGTGCGCGCGGCTTGTCGGGGGCCGCCCATCGGTGTGCAGCTCATTGGCAACGTGAGTCGGAGGCGACGATACGGGCGAAGAGCGGAGGAGGACAAGGTACCCGTACCTTTACCCTTGCCTCGTTGTCCTCTTTTCGGGCCTCCTGGGCGGCCCTCGTCGCCACCCCTGGATTCGCTTCGAAATTCTGGTCAGAACGCACCCCGGGAGAGGTCTGGGGAGTAGCAGTATCGGTACCCCTTCGTTTCCCCAGAAGAGCCCAGGGGCTGGCGTTGCACGTATTCTCACGGGAGCCTCGCCAAAGACATGGACCATCGGTGCCCCCGCATACACGTGTTGCCCCCCCCTGGGCTATTCGCAAGGATCGTCGCCCCCGAGTTAGGACGGGACAGGCTCATGAGATGCTCGTTTGGTGGACCTTCCTGGGGCCCACCTCACGGATCCGTTCGACTCTTAGTTCGACTCCAGCTCGACTCGAGTTCGACTCAGGTTCGACTCAGGTTCGACTCAGGTTCGACTTAGATTCGATTCGAGCCGACGGACCTTCGACGCAGCTTCGACGCACGAGTGGAGCGAGTGGCTCCAGGAAGGTCCCCAGAATGAGCATCGAAGGCTCAGGGGAGGAGGCGTCGACCACTCACCGGCGTTGAGGGCCTGATAGCCCACCACGCCCACTGGAATGGGCGGGGGGGGTGCTAAAAGGATAGGGGGGTTATCAGTGGACACCAAAGGGGTTACACATGGCCTAACCTGGCTTGTAAGTGGGTTGCACATGCCCCAAGTGGCTTAGGGGGATTAGACAACTCTGCTAAGTGGGTGGAGCCCACTTAGCCTGGATCGCTATCCCACCCCAAGCCACTTGGGGCATGTGTAACCCGCTCAAAAGCTAGGGTAGGCCAGGTGTAACCCCTCTGGCGTCCACCGATAACCCCTCCCATGTCCCCTTAGCACGCCCCCCCCCGCCCATCCCAGCAGGGACGTGCGGATTTGCTACATCGGGGGCCTGGCGGCGATGTGTCACCGATACCAGCTCGACGTTTCCCCCTCAGAGCCGGTTCCCCCTTTTGACGTTGCCCCCCAGAGAGAGAGAGAGAGGGGTGTTACTTGGCGTTGTCTCCAGGCCCCGACTGTTGCTGTACTTGCGATCTTGCCGTTCCAGATTCCCTCCGTATTCCTGGTCGAACGGCCTCAACAGGTGTTAGTTGAAGTCGGTTTTTGAAAGCATGTTTTGCCAGTCAACAGGGGGTCCCGCTGGTTCGACCGCTCTGCCCAGGAGCATCTAGCTCTGGTGGGCCCCGTGCTGACCGGGAAGAGATGCTGCTGCTGATGATGGTGATGATGCTGATGCTGATGCTGATGATGATGCTGATTCTGATGATGATGATGGCGATTACGATAATACTGATGACGATGATGCTGGCGCTGCTGCTGCTGATGATGGTGATGGTGGTGATGCCGATGACGCGGATGCTGATGCTGAAGATAAAGGTGCGATGATGATGACGATAAGGATGTTTATGATGAGGATGGTGATGATGTTTATGATGCTGATGATTATGTTGATGATGATGAGGATGCTGATGCTGCTGATGATGATGCTCATGATGCTGCCGTCGATGACAATCATGTTGCTGATCATGACCATGATGATGATGATGATGATGATGCTGATGATGCTGATGATGCTAATGATGCTGATGATGATGATGATGATGATCATGATCATGATCATGAACATGATCATGATTCTGGTGTTGTTGATGCTGATGCTGATATCGATGATGATGAGGATGATGCTGATGATGCTGATGGCGCGGTTTATGTTGATTACATTGATGATGGTGGTGGTGGTGATGATGATGATTATGATGATACATGCTGATGATCATGCTGATGATATCGATGATGTTGATACCGCTGTTGGTGATGATGTTGCTGATCATGATGCGGATCATGATGATGCGGGGAGACGGATACTTCGGCTTGTACGACTAGGATGATTGTTATTACCATCCAATTTACATGTACGTACTTTCCAGATCATGAGTAGTAGCATCAACCTTATGCTTACCCGCACTCGCACCGTCACGGCTACTGCTATCAATATTGTGTGTAGTTTCTGTAGTCGTTTGATTGTTCGTATTATTATTGTTATTCGCGTTCGCACTATTAAGTGTTCGTATGATGGTGATGTTGTTGATGATGTTGTTGTTGCGTATGATGATGATGATGATGATGATGATGATGATGGTGATGGTGATGATGATGATGATGATGATGATGATGATGATGATGATGATGATGATGATGATGATGACGATGATGATGATGATGATGATGATGATGCTGATGCTGATACTGCTGCTGATGATAATGAGGAGGCGGAGGAAGAGAAGGAGGAGGAGCATGCGCAGGAGGGAGCAGGGATGAGGGAGAAAGGAGGAGGGGGAGAGTGGAGTGGAGGGGGATTTTTACACATCGGCGGGACAGCACCCCGTCGTACACTCTGATTTGGGGTGAAGTCGGCAGAGACGGAAGCTCGTGTTCACCTGAGGGAGGCGGAGCAGGGGTAGGGTGACGGGGATTGGGCCAGGGTAACTAGTCAGAGGGTGGTGGGTGCAGGCGGAGGAGGAGGCGGAGGTGAGGGAGGGGGATGAGGACGAGGGGGACCAATACCCAAGTTCCCTCATCATACATGCATGCATGCAAACATGCTTTTCCCCTCTGCGAAGCGCACCCTTGAACGTCGGGCCCCACACGCCCGCAACCCAGGCGGGAGGTTCGCTTTCACGAGGGCCTGCCCGCTGTGCTTCTGTCAGGTATGCGACAGGGGGCGGACGTCGCAGCCCCGCTGCGAGAAAGAGCCTCCCTCCCTCCATGCATGTGTTGCACGTCTTACGACGCCTGGTCACAACAGTCCACAGCAAGATCAGGCGACAACCCAATGTTGCAAAGGAGGCGCCATCCGTTTAGCTGCCGTTGGACTTGGATTTCGAGGCACAGCTCGTCAGGAAGTCGCAGGCGAGACCACTTTTTTGAAATGGAGCCAACCTCAATCCTTGAAAGTCGGATGTGCACTCAGGCGAGACCTTGTTTTGTAAATGACCCCCCCCCATCTGAGAGAAACGCAACGCGGTGTACTGGTAAAGGGCCAGGAAGTGTCTTGCGATACCTACGTTCTGAAAACGGTGTCCGCCACCCATGTCGGGGTTGCATGTTTCCGGCAAGTTCTGGCAAACAAGTAGCAGCCAGCTTGAGCGATCACAGCCTGTTGGAATGCGACCGCCCTCTCCGTGCAGGCGCCGCGCAAAATTGGAAGTTCTGCCATATAGTTGGAGAACGTATCGAGCGACAGCCGCGTTTCGAAAACCGTTCGGCTTCACCTTTGTAAAATATGCGAGCAGCGAGTGTCCATGCCGTTCAGGCGAGAGCAGCACTCTGGAGGCCTCTGGCCCTCCATCCAATTGTGGAAAACTTTTGCCAAGCGTGGTGCGTGGCGCGAAAGCGAGAGCGGAATTGTGAGTTCGTTTCCAACTATTACAGAGTGTCTTTGCATGAGGATTATCAGTTCCAAGGACGTCTCAAGTGAAGCGCCCTGCCTGGCCTACGGATGCGTATGGTGTTGCGACAAGCAGTGGTTTCTTGCTGTACAAAATATGGATAGATCGAGCAGGAGGAGGGTATAGCAGCCCTCGCCACCGAGCTCCAATGCCATCAGAGTCTGGGAGAAGGAGGAGGCGGAGGAGTAGGCGGCAGAGGAGGAGGCGGCGGAAGAGGAGGAGGAGGAGGAGGAGGAGGAGGAGGGAGGAAGAGGAGGAGGAGGAGGAGGTGGAGGAGGTGGTGGAGGAGGAGGAGGGTGATGAGGAGGGCAAGGACAAAGAGGCGAAGGAGGAGCAGGGAGCCGGACAGATGGCTGAGCGAGCCGGGCGCCGGGGGCGGACGCAGGCAGGAGGAAACCGCGGCTCCCAGGGGGATGAGCATCACCTCGACTGGCGGAACGCTGCACGGCGCGTGGGCCTCCGAGGCCACCGTCGTCACCTCCGACAGGCGCCCGGCCTGCACGGGTCCCTCCCCGAGACCCAGGGCGGAGGGGGGCGAGAGGGGAGGTCGGGGGGGGAGAGGGGGGGAGATCAGGGAGGGGAGAGGGGGGTGCAAAGGCTGTCACGTCGCAGCGAGATTGGGAGGGGCAGGCGGCGGACCTGGCGCAGGGACGCCGCTATCGGTCGTCAACGGCTGCCGGTGAAGAGGATGCGAAACGAGGCAGAAGAGAGAAAGAGAAAGAGAGAGAGTGAGAGAGAGAGAGATTCAGAGAGACGGAGAGAGAGGCATCGAGATATGCAACGAGAGATAGAGTAAGATATATAGATAAAGAGGGCGAGAGAGCGAGAGGAGACACATAGAGACAGAGAAAGAGAGAGAGAGAGTCAAAGAGGAAGGGAGGGATCTCTGTGTCTCGCTATACATATCTACATGTACGGGTTTCACAGTGCTTAGGTATATCCATATACACATACATAACGTTACAACTGCATATGCACAGCCACACACATATACATATACAACATATGTACATCTACATATGCATACCTATATGAATATTCATACACACATGCATTTACACACATGCACACATACATCTACATACCCATGGACATGCCCATCTACACATACGTGTACCCATACCGATACCTATACACATACAGACATGTCAATGGCCTTGTCTCTACGTGTCTTATATATATATGTATGTATATATGCGTGCATCAATCTACTTATAACTGGTATGCTCATTATGTATATTTGGAGAGAGTGAGAGAGAGAGCGAGAGAAATACATACATCAATACATACAGACAGAACGAGTGAGAGAGAGAGAGAGTGAGACTGAGACCAGCCTGAGACTGACAGAGACAGAGAGTCAGGGTACCCGGCCTGGATCACGAGCGTTGACCTCGAGGCGAGACCGCAATATTTGGCGCCACGAGATTACACCCTGGCCTACTTGGGAGCTGCACGTGCCATGCTGGGGCCATGAGGCACCATTGCTGTGTCCTCGCCACTTCGGCTCGCGTGCGTGGTTGCCCATGCGATTTGCAATCCCAGCTGCACTCGGTTGTCGTCGCGACCGCACCCTAGATAAGGCTGAGATGCCGATATGGCCACAGTCGTATCAATCGCCATGGGGATCCCGATGCGAACGGTGGCTGGTTGGAACCGTGAGTTGGCCAGAAGCACAACATCGGACGGCACTGTCGTGATTGCCCTTCTCGGGCCGGACGAAAGGGTAGGATAGGGCAAGGGGGGGATTATGACATCTGCTGCATGCAGCTGGTTTCCGCCTCGCCGCCGAGCCCATTCCTCGATACATGAGCGCATCCTGGCGCCAGGAGCCGCCAGGAAAACCAGTTGCGTGAGCTGATTCTCCACCCTACCATTTACTATCCTACCCTCTCTTCCTCCCTGACCTTGCGATCTCCGCGCCCACCGCACGTAAGCCGCCCGGGCCCGCTGACGGCTGGTGGCCCTCGCTTGTTGCCCCGCCCGGAACTCGGCTAAATACGCGCTGGTCGTTGAACGTAGGTGTTTTGGGATTCT